CTGAGGGGCGTCTGGGTTGTTTCCATATTTTAGCTATAGTGAATAATGCTGCGATAATCATAGCTGTGCTGATAGCTTTAGTATGGCCTTGTTTGTGATCAAAATGTTTTTTTATTATCTTTAAGTAGCTGTATAAAAGAATTGCCGTTCAACAAAGCAGTTTATGAATTCAATGCACCTTGATGAATGTCACTCCTTTTAACATCTTTCTCCGTCTTTCCCCTACCCCCTCCTTCCCTCAATTTTTTTTAATTTTGTAGGATATGCCTTGAATTTTATACCTGCACTCTCTTGCTTTCCTCTCTTCATATGTCTACCCCAATACTGATGCCCTGCCTCACCTTTCAAGTAACCATTTCCTGTTTTCTTTTTCAAACTGTGATTTAGCCTTCCTAAAGTACCTAACATATTTCAGTCAATACTTTTGTATACACTTGCATACTTATATGTTTATAGGTTAATTCTACCTTCCACATATGAGAGAAAACATGCATTCCTTGTCTCTCTGGGCCTGATTTACTTCACTTAGCATAATATTATTTCCAGGTCCTTTCAGATCTTTCCATATTTTCTCAAGTGATACAATATCTTTCTTTCTTAAGGATAAGTAAAATTCCATTGTGTATATATACCACATTTTTCTTGATCCATTTGTCCATTGAGGGACATCCTATCTGATACCATACCTTGGCTATGGTATGTAGTGCTGCAATGAACATGATTGTACAGGTGGTTTAACTGTATCCTAGTTTGTAATCTTTGGATAAATGCACAATTGTACAGATTTTCTAGATCATAGGGTAGATCTATGTTTAGTTTTTTTAAGGAAATTCCATACTGTTATACAGAGTAGTTGAACAAATTTATGTTCTCTCCAACAGTGTGCCTTTATACCCACATCTATGCCAGCATCTGTTATTGTTTATATTCTTGATTATGACCACTCTAACTATGTGAGATGGAGTCTCAGTGTTGTTTTGATTTGCATTTTCTTTATGGCCAGAGATGTTTAGCATTTACTGATGTTGGCCGGTTCTACTTCTGATAAATCTCTATTCAACTCATTTGGCCATTTATTAATTGGGTTCTTGATCCTTGGAAGGTTTAGTTTTTAAGCTCTTTGCATATTCTGGCTATTAGGCCATTGTCTGATAGACAGCTGGCAAAATACAATCGTCTCCATCTTGTAAAATGTCTTTTTAGCTTGTTACTGTTGTCCTTTGCCATGCAGAAACTTTTTAGTTTGATACAATCTCATTTATCAATTCTTTCTTTGATCTGCTGTGCTTCTGGATCTTTACTCAGGAAGCTTCTTCCTATTCCAAGGAGTCCTAATGTTTCTCCTCTTTCTTCCTACAGTAATTTCGTGGTTTCAGGTCTTCCATTTTGGTTTTTCATCCATTTTGAATTGATACTAATGTAAGGTGGTGGTTTTCTAGTTTTCCTGGCACTATTTATTGGAGAAGCTGTCAAGACATTAAATGTTTTGTTCTACCCTCTTTTCATTTTCATGTTTTATGAAGATAATTCTGATGTAATTTCTGCATTTGCTCTTCTATACCTTAGTTGTTCCCTCGACATTGGTTTATTTCAAGGTCATTTTTATCTTTGTCTTTCCACATTTAGAAGATATGTCTGTGTATTTATTTGTATACCTGACATCTTTGATGTTTCTGAAATTTATGCATGTTGGGCTTTTAAATATTCTGTTCTGTCCTTTTACAATCCTTTTGCTTTTCCTCTTTATATTTTAGTTTGGTAAGTTTCTATTACCATATCGTCAAGATCACTTATTCTTTTCTCACCTATCTTTAACCTTTTGCTGATCTCATTGAAGGCATTCACTTATTTTACAATGGGTTTGATATATGCTATTTTTGTTCCATCTCTCTGATTAAATTATTCAATTTTATTCAATGTTTTCCATTGTTTTGCCATGACAGTATCATACTGATAAATATTTTAAATTCCAAGTCTTGTAGTTTCAATATCTCTACTGAATTTAACTGCATTGCTAATGCTTGCTCTGTTTGTTCAGACTGTACTTTTTTCTTTTAATGTGCCCTATACTTTTGTTTGTAAGCTTTAAATGTTGTGTTGTGTTAAAAATATTGAAGTAAATAAACTTGAAGTGTGTGTAACAGAGTGTTTATAGCATACTGTTACCCTAAGTGTTTTAAGGTAAACTTTATTTTGCTATCATCTTTGTCTTTCTCCTTGTATGTCTAATCCCCCAGAGATTCTTTGAAAATATCCAAGATACACAATGCCTTAAGTTGTATTGGTCTGTTCTTATACAGTCCTTTCCACTTGAATCTTTGGCAGTAATATACAGTGGGACAGGAAGCATTTTATTGTACCTATGGCTTGGTCTCAGGAGTTCAGTGAGATTGTCCTCTAAGCTTTTATTTGTATTAAGTCTTCTCAGATTTTCTTTTACTTGTTCTTTTGCCTCTTAGATAATATAAGAAAAATTGAAGGGGTTTATTTAGATACGTATCATTATTCATATTGGCTTTTTATAAAAATGTTCTATAATTTAGGCTGTAGTTTATCTTGAATATAGGCTTAAGAAGAGTAAGACTTTCTTGACATATGTTCAAATGATTATTTTTATTTCACATTCCTGTAGTACAGTTTTCCAAATCTTCACTATGACAATCTGGTAAAATTTATTGAGGTTAATTTAATGATCATATAATGGTCCAGACTACTCCTAAAATTTTGAAACTTCTAGGCTTCTTTTCTGGTGACTGAAAATTCTCAGTAACCTTTTGTCCATCAGTCTTTTTAATTTTGGGGGCAAATGGAGTTTTCTTCTTTATATCAATTAAAAAGTTTATTAGACATAGAAAAAATCTGATTCCTCAATCAATTCGTGTTATGTTCCTTGTAAAACAATACGCTTACAGAAAATTTCTTTCTTGTGAACAGAACAAAACACATATGCTGGGTGTCTTCTTCTTCTTCTTCCTCTCCCCCCCCTCCTCCTCCTCCTCCCCCTCCTCCTCTTTCATCTTCTGTGTCTTCTTCTTCTTCTCCTCCTTGTCCCCTTCCTCCTCCTCCTCCTCCCTTCCTCCCCCTCCTGATGACAGATGGATGCAGCCCCAAATGTGCAACATAAATACAGAAGCGATGAACAAGAGACTCATAACCCAAACTGGAACTGGGACAACGCTTTGAGTCCAAGCGAATCCTCTGTGTAGAACCGCCACATCCTCCAGTCCCTGCCAAGTTTGTGTGGCCTGCGCTCCTTGTCCCACAGCTGGCATTCTCTGCCGGACAGTCGATCCCGTAGCCCAGGTGGCCACCGCTTTGCTGGGCGATCGCCCTGAGGAGCCCACGTTAGTGCCGCTGGGGGTCGGGCCCGGCATGCTGGAAGCTGGAGGGCTGCAGAGGGTAATAATTGGACCGCAGGTAAACAGCAGAGGATACTGAGGACTGCAAGGAAGACTGCTGAGCACCCAGAGGACCTGAAACAGGAAAGATCGCAAATGGAGTTTTCTGTATAATCACTTATTTGTTGGATCTAAGAAGAGCTACCGTTTTCAACTTGTTTTGCTCTTTTTTTTTCTTGTTGCACAGATGGGAATGTAGACTTCCAAAATGTTTCCGTGCTAAAGTAAAAAAAAGTTGACAATGAATTTCTTTAATATATATTATAAATATATGTAGTGTTTAATGATTTGGAGTCAATTATATTTAGCATGAGATAGGTAGAGAGATAAATGGAAGGTTCTAAATTTTACTCAAAGTAGCAATACATTAGCAAGAGTAGACAATGTGCAAGTAAAATATGTTGATGAAATTTACTAGTATTATCCTATTTATCTAATACCAAAATGAGCTGGCAAGGTAGAATATTGGGATGAAATGTAGAAGGTATAATTACAAGTAGCTTGGCTTTGCAAGTCTGGAGCAAGACACTTCAGGAAGCTATCTATGCCTTGAGTATTAGTTCAATCATATTTCATTGTTGTCTTTTCACCAAACCCAGAATTCACAGATCCAGGAATTAATCAATGGAAATAGAAATGGTAACCACTAAGTATTGCCCCTTTGTGAAATTTTATTTTCTATCCCTGAAGTTTAGCCTTTGCTAGCTAAAGAAATTCTCCACTAGAAGCCACAATAGTTATTACATTGAACTGTAAAATGATGCTGTCATATGGCCACTTGAGTCCATTCATGACTGTAACTCAACCAACACAAAGGAAATTACTATCAACACTGATATGATTGGTCCTGAGGATCAAGGGAAAATTTGCTTGCTCCTACAAAGTAGAAGTAAAGAAAATCTGGTTTAGAACTCAGGAAATCTCCTGAACATCTCTTAATATACCATGTAGCTTTAGTTTGTATTGGGAATGTTTCCAAAGGACTTTGTCTGTAATCAAAGGTTTTAGACCTGAGGCCCAAACTCTTAAGAGTTCAGGTCAGGACAATATAAAGGACAAAAACCAGAGATTTATTGCATAGCACATAGGAACACAGTATATTTGTGGCCACCTTTGGGGTACACATATGAGCTATATGCTTAAATAAAGGGGGAGACAGAAAAGACGGCAAAAGATAAGCATAACTAAAAGATCCCAGACATAGGTTGAGCCTGTCAGCTTCAGTCCCTGTTTGGGGAAGGATTGCCATAGCAGTTATCACTGATTTGGATAAACAAGTAATCCTTACCATATAGTTAGATAGATAGATAGATAGATAGATAGATAGATAGGTGTGAATATTAAATTGTTTTTTAATTATTACAGTATAACTAAATTTAGAGAATAGCTATTAGCATTATTTGGTACATATAATGAATGAAAAAGATAATGAGTTTGATATTTGATAGGCCAGGGAAATTAATATTGAATTTTGGGAACCAAGAATTTTTTTTAATTTTAATTTAAATTTTTTGTGAACATACTGTACAGAGGGGTTACAATTACATGGGCAAGATAATGAGTACATTTCTTATCAAGCATTGCAGCCTTCTCCTTTCCCTTCCCAGCCTCCTCCCTGCCCCCCCCAATCCTCCCCCCCCCCCGCACCAAAGTTGTAAAGTTCATTTTTGACATGACAACTTGTACTTCTCATTGTTGCAACAGGTCCACCTGTATCCTTAAACGACTAGTTTTTCCCCTTCTCCTCCACAAATTATACCGACATCAAATATAGTGAAAGCAGGGGTTATACTGTGGGGGAGGGACATACAAAGCAACAAAGAAATAATCTTATAAATGTGTTAGAAACAAATGCATGAAAGAAAAAAAACATTAAAATACATATCTAAGGGGTCATTTTCCTAACATCACATTATCTGACCTTTCCTGCTTGACTCATACATATACTAGATATTGCAAATAAAGGAAACCATGGGACGTATGTTTCTTTGGGCTTGGCTTACTTCACTTAATATAATTTTTTCCAAGTCTTTCCATTTTCTAACAAATGGGATAGAATTCCATTGTGTATATATACCACATTTTCTTGATCCATTCATCTACTGAGGGGCATCTGGGTTGGTTCCATATCTTAGCTATGGTAAATAATGCTCCAATAAACATAGTTGTGCTGGTAGCTTTAGTGTGGTCTTGTTTGTAAACATTTGGGTAAAGGCCAAAAGTGGGATTGCTGGGTCGTAGGGGAAGCAAGAATTTTATAGGCAATTCCCAATAAATTAGAATAAAAATAGTTAATTGTGGCAAGTGTAGACTTGTATAGAGAGGACTATAAGAATACAGGTGAGCTGGGCGCCAGTGGCTCAAGCCTGTAATCCTAGTTGCTCAGGAGGCTGAGATCTGAAGATCACAGTTCAGAGCTGGCCCGGGCAGGAAAGTCCATGAAACTCCTATCTCCAATAAACTACCAGAAAATAGGAAGAGGCACTATAGCTCAAGTGGTAGAGAGCTAGCCTTGAGCTGAAGGGCTGAAGTACAGCGCTCAGGCCCAGAGTTCAAGCCCTACAACCGACAAAAAAGAGAGAATACAGGTGATGTGTGATATGAAGATCTGAATGGCAAATAGACCCATTAAGAAACAAAAGGGAACATTTCTAGCATTTTATCTAATTGCATGGTATCAAGCTCAATTGTTAATATTTTCTACAGATATTGCATGACTGTTGGTGTTTTGACATATGTTTTGACTACTTGTCTACCTGAGCCACATGCTATTTGCCTTTCCATCTAGCTAAACTTTGCAAGTCATTCACTGGCTATATGTACAGCATCAGATAGTACCTCCTTTGGCCTCTCTTCCCTATCTTTATCAAAATGTACCTGGATTTGGTCTCCCTGGTATTATAGTAATTTGAGAGACTGCTTTGTTACTTGTAAATAAATCAAACTTCTGCTGTTACCTTGGGATAGTCTATATTAAATTGCTTTTATGAAAAGAACAACTTCACCTATTTATTAGGTGCATAATTCAGTGCATATCCTTGCAAATTTCAATTTTAAGGCAATTTTTGAAACATTATTTGTGGTTTACGTTGGGGATACTTTAATAGTAACAATGTACCTCTTCCAAGTAACAAAACTAATTTTTGAAGTATATTATTATCCAAATGTCTACATCTTTTAAGGAATCTCCACCTCTTCTCCTCCAAAATTAAATTTTTATATGTAACTTGCCATATAAACATAGCTTTACAAATATATTGAGACTCTTTGGCAAACATTTTCCAGAAGAGCTATGTCTTCCAGGGTCTCAATCTGTTTCATGTATTATAGAACCCAAGTATTAATGCAGTTCATACAAAGAATACTATAGTTTGCAGCAATCTATCCAAATGGACAAGCATGCTATATATATGCTCCATAAAAGCACTGATGGAAAGAGGAGAGACATGTTCACCCTGGATTGTTCTGGTGCAGCTATCTTTTATTACATGATTATGTATCACTTCCGATACTGACTCATACACAGCATTCAGACTAAAACTGAAGAGAGGAAGTTGTTCTCACAGAGTTCCTTCTTTCTTTTATTTTTTTGTCAGATAATTTTTCTCACATGAAGTTCTAACCTTAAAGACATCAGTGAACTTAAAGAAATCAGCCAAGTCTGATGGCAATATCAGTATGATATGAAGTTTGAATTTTTGATAATTTTAACATCTGTGAGATTAGGTTGTTGAAAGGAAGTTGTGCAGATTAACAATGAAGGGGAATCAGTAGCCGTTGCTGGTGGCTTAGTCATATAATTCTAGCTACTTAAAGGAGGCCAATTCCTCTGAGTTGGGCTATAGATGTGGCTTCAGTGGTACAGCACAGATGAGCAAGCAAGATGAGCAAGAAGTCACACAAATAGATAACTGAGTTCAAACTCTGGCACTGCTAATTACAGGAAAAATAAGTGGAGAAAATAAAGTGGCTACAGACCATATAGCAGTATCCAAGGCTAATGGAACTGGTTATAAAGTTATAAGAAAGAAGAAGATGAGATTTTTTTTTTTGGTCCGGTCGTGGGGCCTGAACTCTGGGTCTGGGCGCTGTCCCTCAGCTCTTCAGCTCAAGGCTCGCGCTCTACCACTTGAGCCACAGCGCCACTTCTGGCTTTTTTCTTCTTGCTTATGTGGTGCTGAGGAATCGAACCCAGGGCCTCTGGCATGCAAGGCAAGCGCTCACCACTGAGCCACCTTCCCAGCCCTAAGAAGATGAGGTTCTGCAGTGAGTAGTAAGTACATACTGCTTCTGTAATGAGTTTTACGTACTGATTCTGCAGTGAGTATTACATACTGAAAGGAGACGCAGAGCTAGAGTTGTCAGCAGATAGTAAACAGAGACTATATTTGTACACTATGAATGCAAATGGCATCTGAGTGTGATTTGTACCAACAGATATACTAGCGTTCCCTTTTATGAGTCAGACAGCTTTAAAACAAACCGTCTTAGTCATTTCAAACATTTTAATTTCCATTTGGGTCACCCTTTGGACATTTAGAGTTAATTAGGAACTGATTTATATGTTGGCTAGAAAATTGCCTTGATAAATTTTGAAAACTTATTGTTTAAATATTTGAGATGTTTTTGCATTTCATTAGCAGTGACAAATAATAAAGGGAGTTTCATTTTAACATGTCCATATATGCATGGAATGTACCTTGATCAGATTCACCCCCCCATTACTGACCTTCATCATCCTCCCACTTCCCAAACCAATCTCAACAAGTGCCTTTTTCCATCTTCACACATGCATATGTATTTCAACCACATTCATCTTTCATTAACCTTTTTAACCATCTCTCTTTCGCTTGTACCTCATTTCAGCCAAAATGTTTTACTTGTTATTTGTTTTTACTTTTTACTCTTCAAAGGGGTTTCATCATAGTATTTCACACATGTATGAGTAGTATTTTAATAATCATGACCCCTCCACTTAATACATTTTGACGCAAGTAATTTT